CTTGGCGAGCCTCGTCAAAATTATCGTCAAGCAGCTGCATTGTATTGTCAGAAATTTCCCAACAGACGTCATCCTACTGGTCAACGAATAAGACGCATCGAATTGCGAGAACGACTAGTGGTTCGACAAAGAGTCAGAAGATGTCGCACTGCTGATAACGATAATGACGACCCCCGAGTTCAATTTGTGCTCACTGCAGTTGGATTAGACCCTCATATTTCTACTCGCCAAATTGAAAGATTGACAGGATTGCCACATCCTATTGTGTGGAGAATTTTAAAGAGGCATAGGTTTCATTCGTATCATCTTAATCTTACTCAACAGTTAAATGAAAATGATATGGTGTTGAGAATTCAATTTTGTGAATGGGCTTTGGAAAGGATACGGTTAAACCTGAATTTTTTTCATTTGTAATGTTTACCGATGAAGCTATGTTCCATCATAACGGCCAATTAAATAGGCACAATTCACATTATATTGGTCGCCTATAAATCCTCATTGGACTTACATGGTTGACAATCAACGCAGGTGGACTCTTCATGTATGGTGTGGAGTAATTAATGGATATTTGATAAAACCTTACTTTTTTAAAGACAATTTAAACAGTGCAAGATACCTTTCATTTTTGCAAAAAAATTACTAGGTCTTTTAGAAGAGGTTAATACCGATACTCGTCAAAGAATGTGGTGGCAACAAGATGGAGCACCGCCTCACTCGGCTGGAATAGTCACCACTTACCTTAATCAAGTGTACCATGAAAAATGGATAGGCAGATTCGGCCCTACAAAGTGGCCTCCACGTTCTCCAGATTTAACTTCACCAGATTTTTACTTGTGGGGATATTTGAAAAATGTAGTATACAAAGAAGCTCCGACAACTCGAGAGGATATAAAAAACAGAATAAAAAGAGCCTGCAATAATATTCCTCGGCGAGTTTTGTTATCTACCATTATAAATTTTCAGAAACGGCTCCGTTTATGTTTAGAACAGAATGGTAGTGTATTCGAACATTTATTAAATGGATAAATTAAAAAATTAGCCTAGTGCTTGTCACATGCACACACGTACACACATGATCGGCAAGAAGTCTTACGTAAAACAAGCACCCCAAAGTGAGAGGCAAGGGGACTCACGTTAAACAAGCACCCCGAAGTGAGAAGCAAGGGGACTCACGTTAAACAAGCACCCCGAAGTGAGAGGCAAGGGGACTCACGTAAATCAAGCACCCCAAAGGGATGAAAGCCCCGCCACGTCCACGTCGTTCATCCTGGGTAACGCTAAGCACGGGAAAATGCGTGTCAAGCGGTATGAAGCTGGTTGACCATCAAACAGAGTCAGATAACGGATAGAAACAACACACATACACACGCGCGCGCACGCACAGAGAGAGAGAGAGGGGGGGGGGAAGGAGAGAGGAAGATAAAGAGCGAGAGAGAGTGGGGCAGGGAGAGAGAAAGAAGGACAGTTTGAAGTCACAAAATACGCACACTGTATGGGGGTCGAAGCCTTTTACTTAAATTATAAACTTTGGAACACTGTAACTCAGTGAAAAATGATCCAATTTCAAAAAATAAAAAACCGTTGTATTCGTTTCCATGTCACCTACGACATTGACTGGAACATAAAAATCGGTTGCCATTTGCAAAAATGGCCGCCATGTAGAAATCTCGAAAGTGGCGCCACCTACAATTAAACTGACGTGGCCAACTTCTGCCTCCCTTGGAACCATAAAACTATTGTTTAAAACATTTTTCCTATCTCTTTTATTTTAAGAGATATTTAGCTGTATCACTTAAAATGATACACCCTGTATAATTCATTAAGACTCACATACGTTAGCCGCTTGTAACCGTACTTTAACTTATTTTCGTCTTACTCATTAACTCCCTAATTTTTATTATTAACTTATAAGACCTTATAATTTTGTTGATTGCAGTATTACTTGAAAAGGACCCAAAATATAGGGTCGAAACGTTGTATTAATTAAATAAAGCAACTAGCCAGTTGGGTTAACTACAAGTTCCCGTTACAATTTTTATTCATTACTGGTGACTATAAGAAATCTTCCTACGTCGATATAAATAAAACATCCAATAATACATGTATGATTTCATCACACCCATATCCTCTGTCTCATCACGCGGAAATTAATATGCGCATCCAGGTGCCCGCGCTAATAAAAAAAAGTGCCGAAACATCTCCGGCGATATCTGTTACATGTCACACAGTAGGTGTGACAGGTCAGCACCTAGCGTGACGTCACGGTCACGTGCTGTTATGTCAGATACACCAGCTCGAGCTTTTTTAAAATGTACCAAAAGTCATGGTGGTTACAATGCCTGTGAACGTTGTACAATTCCAAGAGAATTACTTAGAATAGGTAAAAGTTCAAAAATAATTTATCCAGATATAGGATATCGAAAGCGTACAAAAGAATCATTTTTCATGCAAGAAGATTCTGAACATCATGTTGGTATTTTGCCTTTAATTAACATACTCGTAGTTCCTCTAATAGATTTAACAAAAATATTTGTATTAGAACATACGCACTTATTTTTTAATGGAGTAATGAAAAATTAATCGATTTTTGGATGAGAGGCGCATTGAAAACCAGATTAAGTCGACAGCAAAACATTAAAATTTCACTAACAATAAGACTTTTAATTTTTAAAACATATGTGCCTATTAAATTCCAAAAAAACCCAAGATCAATATTTGATTATTTGAAATGAAAAGCAACCGAATTCCGCTTTTTCTTACTTTATTGTGGTCCTATTGTCTTAAAAGATATACTTCCATTAAAGTTATATCATCATTTTTTATTACTACATGTCTCATGCAGAATTCTCTGTAGTAATGAACTTGCACTGACGCATAATACCACTGCAAAAAATATTTAGAAAAATTTGTTCCTGTATTATCACATTTATATGAACCAAAATTTCAAGTAATAAATATGCACTACTTGTTACACATAACTGATGATGTTAAAAATTTTAATTGTTCTTTGAGTAAGATAAGTTGCTTTTCTTTTGAAAGTGTTCTTGGCGAAATTAAACGTACTATTCGTACCCCTACAAAGCCACTATCACAAATATGCCGTAGATTAGGAGAGAAAGACATGTTTATAAAGAAAGTAATATCGGTTAGTTCTAATAAGATTTTGAAAAAAGTAGCTCGAGACAATAGGATTTATACAGGGTGGTCTAAAAGTCCCGGAACGGTTGAATATCCCGAGAAATTGTGGGTGGATCGGAAAACGGAAAAATACGTATTTCCTATTTTTGGAAGAGCTATCGAATGATACCAAAATTGACCCCCACCCCCACCCCTGTGGGTGTGGCGGGGGCAACTTTAAAATCTTAAACCCCTGGGAACCCCTACTTTTTATTGCAGATTCGAATTCTACGTCCAAAAACACGTAAATTTTGTCTAAACCTTTTTTTCGATTCCTGATAAATGGCGCTGCATTCGGCGAAAATTGGTTAAATCGTTTTCTTCCAGGGAAATCCCCATGTTTTATTGCATAATGATGCTACGTTGAAGAAAAGTAACTTTTGTCTGAAACATGTTTGTCGAATTATCGTAGATGTCTACGACAATTTTTTATCCGTTCTTAGCTTTACCCAGGATTAACGACGTGGACGTGAGAGGCGAGGGGACTCATCTAAATCTATCAGGAATCGAAAAAAAGGTTTAGACAAAATTTACGTGTTTTTGGATGTAGAATTCGAATCTGCAATAAAAAGTAGGGGTTCCCATTTAAGATTTTAAAGTTGCCCCCGCCACACCCACAGGGGTGGGGGTGGGAGTCAATTTTGGCATCATTCGATAGCTCTTTCAAAAATAGGAAATACGTATTTTTCCGTTTTCCGATCCACCCACAATTTCTCGGGATATTCAACCGTTCCGGGACTTTTAGACCACCCTGTATATTATAAAACGAATACGATGGAATCTGATGACAATTGCAACGGATAAAGAAAAGAATGTGGTACTTCTAAAAGACAATACAATCATGGAAATTAAATCAATATATTGCGATAAGGACAATCATGATTCTCTATCGAATACAATAATTAAAGGAGAAATTTGGAAAAAAATTAAATTATTATATACATATCCACGTAAATCAAAGTTACTGAAAACATGGCAAATTCCTATAGAATGTGATCAGATTAGTAAATATCTTTTAATACACGTATTACATAAATTAATTAGACTAGAACTATCATTCGATTCATATAAACAACCTAGTATGTTTGTTATGCCACTACTTCATTCACTTTAACAATACTGTAAGGGTTACGACAAAAACATTTTTTTATTATATATGTTTAATATTGTTTTTATTAGTTATTTATATTAATTAATTTTCTCTCTTTGTTTAATATTCTAGTGTAATTGTAAGATTAATTAATTGCTAACGTAATGTAAAATTAAAATTCCATTTCTCTAATAAACTGTTTTTGTGCCTTACAATTATAGTTTTAATTCTATAGAAAATTGTTAAAGATAGACTTAAAAACTGACAAACCCAATAACTACATATTAAGGATACCCTAACAATTCTTACTTATTATTATCCGATTAGAACCTCAAAAGGTTTTTATGAGGATTCTTTTTTGTAGCATACACAGGGTGAATCTTATATGTCCTGCACCAGTCTTACCACAGTATAACCACAGTATAACCAGAAGGGGCACTCGTTCTTTTGTTTCACGTTCGCGCCGATCCGTACTGCGCATCCGACATGTTTTTATAATGACCAATTACAGGATTTTTGTACATGTGTTAGTGCAAAGTCGGTGTGACATTGAAAAATTCGCAGTGTTGACGAATAACGCGTAAATACTTTTATACGTTGGAGCAAGTAATTACATTAATTACCTTTATTAAAACAATTTTTTTCATAGGCCATTTCCATTTACAATAAATAATATATGCCAGTTCGTGTGCGCCTTTCCTGGATATGATCCTGAAAAGGGTTCAGGCACTTTTAGCAGTTGATACACTGTTGGCGCTTCTAAAAACATGGCGGAAAAGTGAGAACGCGCAGATCAAAGGTGTCGACAGAGAGTGCCCCTACTGCATGTGGACCAGGTGTTAGCAGCGCCAAAGTAGAAAGTGCCTGAACTATATGTATCGTTCCTCCTTGACGGGATTGCAACCATCGCAGGCTGCAAGACACGTGAGTCGGTGCGAGCCAGGTACTATATTTTTAAATAAGATTGTCAGGGAAATTTGAGCAGTACAATTTTACTAATTTATTACGCATTCGACTGTGAGACATAATGATTGGTCACATTTTGAGATGCGTAATGCAAGAATTTTGTAGCTTTAGTATATAACCTGACCTAACCCCTCGATCGTTTCTATATGCATGATATTGGACCGCGTACCCTGCCGGAAATAATTCTACAAAATATGTAGAAAGGAGAGAGTGCCAATGTGAGCCACAAAATGAGAGGAACTCGGTTCTCACAATATAGAAGAGGTCGATTCATTTTGTGGCTCACATTAGCACTCTCTTTTCTACATACAATATTTTCTTTTTGGGAGTCTTCACAACACTTTGGAATATAATTCTACAAAGTTGTGTTTATTTATATTCTTTTATTCCAGGGTCGTCAAGGTCGCTTCACGTATCGACTTGAAGAGTCGACGAAGAAGACACGAAGAAAAAGAATTAAACTTTTCAGATTAACACATTACGGGCATGGGAAAACTCAAAAGTTTTTGTAAATTGTCACGCAGTCAACAAAATCGCCGACTGAAGTAAATATAGACATCAGAAAATTTCAGAAAGGAAAATATTTCTATATTGAAACAAGTTGAAATAAATTTATTACCTACCGAAAAAGAATGTGATAATTTTTCTTGTTTTGAGACAGAAAATAATTTAGTTTTGTGGGATTTGTCTGTACCCAACATTGCTGATGAAATAAATATAACAGACAATTTAACATTTTGTGATAAATAGTATTTTACACCAAATTGCAGTGAAGGCATATCTCTAGAGAAAAGCTAATTGTATAGGCAGATAAACATAAAGTTCAACATGAAAGTTCAAACTGTAACATCTCTACTTAAAATATTAAAAAATAAAGGCCATGATGATCTTTCTAATGATGGAAGAACATTAATGAAAGCTCTACGTTACACAACAATTTATCAGATATCAGATGGCAATTACTATCATTACGGGTTAGAAAATGGAATTATCGAAGTACTATGCTGGTTACAAAACTCAATAATAAATAATCCCATTATTATTAATGTTAACATTGATGGTCTTCCTATCGCTAAAAGTTCAAACAGTCAATTGTGGCCTATTTTAGCTCAAGTTGTTCTCAAGGAATCTGCATCCACTTTTATTGTTGGTGCTTACCATGGATGCAAGAAACCTATCACTGATCATTTTTTGCAACATTTTGTTACAGAGTTCAAACAATTAAATACAACTGGATTTACATTTAAAAATAATGTGTACAAGTTGAAATTAGAGCAATCATATGTGACAGCCCTGCACGATCATTTGTTACGTGCATAAAAGGTCATAATGGTTACTTTGGTTGTAGTAAATGTACTGTGGAGGGTGATCATGAAAATCATCGAATGCTTTTTCTTGAAAATAGCTGTTCTTTGCGAACAGATGAAACGTTTAAATATCGACAAAATGCAGAACATTACACTGGTGTGTCCTTGTTAGAACAATTACCTTTACCAATGGTCACAACTTTTCCACTTGGCTACATGCATTTAGTTTGTCTTGGTCAAATGAAAAAGTTACTATGTTTATGGTTGAAAGGTCCTATTTGCACTGAGGCTCGAGTATCTGGTAAACAAATAAAAGATTTAACCTCGGATCTAGTTTCACTAAAGACATATGTTTGCTCTGAATTTGTTAGAGTACCTAAGAATTTTGAGGAAGTGGGTAAATAGAAAGCTACAGAATTCAGAATCTTTTTATTATACCTTCCCAGTCAGAAATGACTCGAAAACCGATGTCGAAACGATATCGATTCGATATCGTTTCGACGTCGGTTTTCGAGTCATTTCTAACTGGGTTAGTCCTGTTTTACTGCATAAGTTTCTTCCATCTACTTATTTCAAACATTTTCTTACGTTTCATTGTGCAATTCGAATATTATGCCATCCTCACGATTATTTAAGAAAAAATAAATATACACAAGAGCTGTTGCTTTATGTCGTTCAGAACTATTCTGTTCTTTATGGTAAAGAAAATGTGATTTAAACAGTATATAATTTGATCCATTTGAGTGATGATGCAAAGAGGTTTTGGCCTTTAGATAGTTTTAGTGCGTTTCCTTTCGAAAACCATTTGCATACCGTAAAAAAATTATTAAGAAAGCATGACAAACCTTGCAACAAATACATCGAAGAATAATGGAAAAAAATGCAGCAAATAAATTTCGAACATGTATAGATTCTGTCCTATATCCACTTCTAATATTAAGAAATAAGAAAAAAATCTCATTTCAATGTTCTGAAAGTTATGATACATTACAGTTTCGTAACTTTAAATTATCATGTTGTAAAGCAGCAGATTGTTTTTGATTTTAAAATATAATAAAGTTGTTAAAATACACTATATTGGTTTGCAAAATGGAAATCCAGTTATCATTGGTTAAGAATATATCAACTATTTTCGTTATCCTTGTGATTCGAGACATATAAATGTTTTTGTTGTTACTGATAATTTAACTACGTTGAAATGTTTTCCTGCTACTGAAATTTCAAGAAAAGCTATATTGCTGCCATGGGAAGGGGGCAACTTTGTGTTTTTCCACTACTACATTCTGATATATGTATATGAAGGTATATGTGTATATAGATATTGTATATATCATAATGCATATATGTATCATACTGTATGCTAACCTAAAATTACCTTTAATTTTATTTAATTAATTAATGTCTAATGCTTATTTTAATGTTGTTGCATTTTAATGACCAATTACAATGTTGTAGATGTATAGTGTGGTTGTTGATCAAGACTGGTGCTCTGTTGCTCCAGAATCATGGGTTGATTATGAAAAAAAACATGTAGGATGGCCAACAAATCATGCAAATGTTTCCAAAGCAGTATAAAAACGATTGACTCCAGACACGTCCTGAAAGAGTATATCTGTGAAATATATTTTAGGACCGAACGGTAAGAATATTTTGAGAAATTATAATCATCTTTATATGTTTTTTTCAATATCAGTAATATCTTTTATATTATAATAGAATAGAAAATGTTTTTAAACATTATATTTTTTAATATAATAGGATTGTAGGTAACATTTTTTAATCATGCTAGTAATTTTTTTATAGAAACATGAAATTGCTCGAAAAATTGAAAAAGATGCACAGTTCTTATCATCTGACGAAGCTCAAATTAATGCTCTTTCAAATACAAAAATTCATGATATTCCATTAAAACGACCAAGAAGACGAAATATTGTATAATATATTCTTCTCAAGAGGAGTCAAGCCCAGAAGTCAAGCATGGTAAATAATGTTTCAAAAAAATTCAATTATACATATATATATGCATGTATGTATAATGTATATACAGGATGTTCCAGTTAAGGTATCCATCCCTTAATATTCAAGTAGAGTGGGAGAAACTAAGAACAAAATTTATGTTTTACTTTGTAAAATTCGCAATAGTTGTCAAGTAATTAATTAAACTGTCTGAGCAAATGAGCGCGTATGAAGCGTATAAGCGGTAATGAAAGGTTAATTTGCAGTCTTGAAAATTACGTTTTGTTTATATTTGTAGGAAAACGTTCAAAAATTATAGCAAGTCCTCCGACCTTAAATATTAATTATGAAGAAGATAGTACAGATAAAGAGAATAGAACATCAAAATCTGGTAAGTCTTATTAATTTGGTTTTATCAAAATGAAACATTAATATAAATTTGTACTCATACTGTTGATCTTTTCAGCTATCAACTATACAATAATGTTACCGGAACCGAAAAATACACAGACGAAATACTCCGAAACAGAAATAGCTTCAGGATCAGGTAATTTCATGTTTGTACATATAATTGAATGAAAATTACTATCCATTTCATAAGTTGCTTTGTAATTTTACGGTTTATGTTAACAGAGGAAATATATAAAAAGATATCTATCATGAACAATTTGTTTAATAAACAGAGCAAATAAAGTATTTAAATTTTAAATTTTTATTTAAAGCAATAGTGTTTTATTATATAAATTGCATTTTAGTTTTTAATAAAGTATCTCAACCAAATTTGTATAATAATATTGCTATACATTTTATTTCTTAAGTTAATTAAAAAAACAAAAATTAATACATCTATAGAAATAAAAATTGAGATAAATGTTTTCAAAAGATAGAAAAATATATTGTTAAAAATGTGTGTATAAAAATTAAATATACGTTTTATACAATGTTTTATTGTGAACAATGTGTACAGTAATAATATATATGTATAATACAGTAATAATATGTATAATATTAAAGCACAATATTTATTTGAAATATGTCTTTCTAGAAGTATCATATAACAATAATAATTTAGTGTCGCCGAGTACTTTGGATTCACAGCCGTTAAATTATGACGATTATTTTTTGGAGAATGAAGACTTGTTGCAAGGTACTGTTAATATATTTTTTATGTAATATTCTTTAAATATTTTCTTTTTCAAACTTTTGCGATATTAGTACAGTAGCAGAAATTAATATGCTTACTTTATATTTTTTTTACAGAAAAGGAAATAAATGAAACTTGTTTTCGACAATCGGACATAAAGCCGAAAAAATTAGTTTCTACAGTTAAAGATGGTACATAATATAATACGCGTTAAAATTTTTAATATTTTCTATTAATTTTGGAAATATCTTTTCAGTTGAATATAATTCTGGATATAATGTAAAAATTGTAAAAGGAGATAAAACAGAAGATTCTATTGCAGGTTATTTGATACAAAATATTTATTATATCTTTCTCCACATTTTTTAGTTTATAATTTCTATTAAATTTATACAAATTGTTTTTTGTTTTAACTAGTGAGAACTCATACTGACTTACAAATGCAGAATGAAACAAAAAAGGATAAAAAGACTGAATACAAGAAAATGACTAAAGACAAGGAAACGACAAGCAAAGGTAATTGTGCACGAATGTTCGGAAACCGGTAATCGCGGATCGCACGGTTCGACTCGACTCGCGCACTACGAATTTATTTGACGCCGACACAAGTTCCGACTAGAACTCTGGGAGATGTAAGGTACGGAGAGAAGGTATCAAAACGGATTACTCTCAGTTATTTAATTGCTAAACACTCACGAACGTTTATTTAATTAACACATAGAATAAATGAACAAAGGCTGTGCGGAGCGAACAAAAGAAGGTTCACCTACAAAGGATCACCTTGTGACAAGGTGATCTAAAGTATTGATGTTATTCGCTCACAAAGAAATGAGAAGTAACGGTCCTTTCAACGTTAACGGATTTAAAGAAGTTGAAATCGACGAGGTCGCGATAGACTGACTTATTCGCACTCGAAACAGTTGCGGAGTCAAGTCGCTCGAGTCGACGCAATTGTCCGCTACGATAAAGTAGCACCGAAGCGCGCTGCCTTGAATGTCCGAATCTCGAACCGCCGCACAGTGGGAAAAAAGGCACACTTTTTGGACAAAAATCGCTGGACGGTGTAATTTTCAACCGATTTTAATGCTTTTTTTAAATTTACTCGTTAGAAATTGCTCTACAATCGTATCGTGCCCTTTTCTTTAAATTAGACCTTTGATTCAAAATGGTGGAATCAAAATGGTTATCAGAAATATGGAAATTGTAAGATATTGAATATTATTGTACCAAACTAAGTATATGCGGGTTTTAGGAACCCGTAATAATATATCTGTGTCAAAATGGTAATATTTGCCACTGAAAAAGACCTGAAGTGGGTCGAAATGTTTCACGACTCTTTGATATCTTTACAATATCAATACATTCAGATCGCGTTTTCATATTAGTACATATTACCCGATTATATGTATGTAAATTTTACAATTTAACATAAAATTTATATAGCTGCCAAAATATGAAATTATAATCATAATGTAAAAACAAAAAATATAATAACACTAAAGTCCCCTTTTATTTATTGTCAAGATATCGGACGTGCCAGAATTTATATTTATTTTTATTATTTTATTTTCTTTATTTTTGTTTTTGTACTTTTATATTTTTTGTTTTTTTGTATTTTAATATTTCTTGTAAGTAAATATATATTTTTTATTATACAGGGTGTCCTGACATTCGTGAATCAAAATACCATAGCAAAAAAGTCGTCGAAAAAATAAATTAAAAAGTTATTTGCCATTTTTCGTTCCGAGCAGTAGTTTTTTTAGATAATAAGGTTCAAAACAGGCCAATCATACATTACGGTTGAACGGAAACCTGTCCGTGAGTCGCGCATTGATAGTGTTAATGCACTAACACTATCGACGCGCGACTCACGGACAGGTTGCCGTTCAACCGTAATGTATGATTGGCCTGTTTTGAACCTTTTTATCTAAAACAACTACTGCTCGGAACGAAAAATGGCAAATAACTTTTTAATTTATTTTTTCGACGACTTTCTTGCTATGGTATTTTGATTCGCGAATTTCAAGACACCCTGTATAATAAAAATATATATTTACTTACAAAAAAATATTAAAATACAAAAACAAAAATAAAAACAAAAATAAAGAAAACAAAATAATAAAAAATAAATATAAATTCTGGCACGTCCGATATCTTGACAATAAATAAAAGGGGACTTTAGTGTTATTATATTTTTTGTTTTTACATTATGATTATAATTTCATATTTTGGCAGCTATATAAATTTTATGTTAAATTGTGAAATTTACATATAATCGGGTAATATGTACTAATATGAAAACGCGATCTGAATGTATTGATATTGTAAAGATATCAAAGAGTCGTGAAACATTTCGACCCACTTCAGGTCTTTTTCAGTGGCAAATATTACCATTTTGACACAGATATATTATTACGGGTCCCTAAAACCCGCATATACTTAGTTTGGTACAATAATATTCAATATCTTACAATTTCCATATTTCTGATAACCATTTTGATTCCACCATTTTGAATCAAAGGTCTAATTTAAAAAAGGGCACGATACGATTGTAGAGCAATTTCTAACGAGTAAATTTAAAAAAAAACATTAAAATCGGTTGAAAATTACACTGTCCAGCGATTTTTGTCCAAAAAGTGTGCCTTTTTTCCCACTGTGCGCCGTTCGCGGTATACCCGGCCCACGCGGGCGAGATTGCGTGACTCATTGTCAGTTCCGATGAGGCTGGGCTCCGGTGTAGGTCACTTTCCACAGAGGTAGATTGGCGAGTCCGATGATAGGCGATCGTCACGATTGAACTGTCTCTCTCGGAGACTGAGAAAAACTGCCGCGTTACTGATCGTGAAACGAAACCGAAAGCTGTCGTTTTCAGAGCGATCGAATATCGACTGACTGCTCGTTTCTAACGTCTCCGGTTTGACCCGGTCTCGGAAGTGTTTTTGGATTTGACCGATGACGAAAATATTGTTTCGTTTCGCTAGCGCGACGCAAGTCATCGGTCGAATCCTACTCGGTGTCGGCGATGATTTTCGCGCGAGGCTCGATCAGCTGGCTCGAACGGGGTCATCGACCCGCGTTGATCGAGACGCTTCTGACCGAACGCACCGCGATTTCGAGCGATACATCGAATCCGAAACAGTAATATTTCTTCTATTTGTATAAAATTTGACTTTTTAATACTTATATCTTTAGTTGCAGGCGAAATATTCACAGTTGAAAGATACTTAATAAATAAATCGAAAATTGGACACAATCTTAACAGTGTTAAGAGGATGCT